GAATGCGACGGAGTGAGTCGTAGGGTTATCACCACCTCCTGTGATAGGCCTGTGAGAAGATAGGCCGAAAATGAAGTAGAGAGCAGGCGTGTTGTAAAGCAGGCGGAAGAGCTGGTGCGTCAGGTATATCTGCGGGCAGCCATGGTGGAAGAGATTGGCGAAGAGGAGCGACTGGTAGGGGATAGATGAATGCTGGCAAGCCAACTGTTAAAAATACGCCGCCGCCGCCGCCGCCGCCTAACTCAAGCTGTATTAGCACGGACCATTAGAGCAGCTGACTTCCAGCATTCCCCCCATTCTACTATCCAGGGAGGGAGGGAGGGAGGGAGGGATTGAGGGGGCAAGGAAAATATAGTAGCCCAGACCATAAGTATGTGTATTTACTCCTTCACCTGTTCCACCAGTGGACTGGGCAGCTTATATTGGTGGCAGGAGCCGGCCGGCGTTTATCCAAAAGAACATCTCCCAGCCAGCAGGCCAGGTTTGCAAGGGGTCAAATAAAGAAGGTAATGAGCTAGATGCTCGCGCGCTCGCGTGCTCACGTGGTAGACGCCGCAGACCACCGTGTACGTAGACCAGAGGGTTTTTCAGAGTAATTTAGAAGGTGCCATTAAACTATGCAAAAACTGCTTGGGCAGCGCTTCTTGGCTACGGCAGAGGCAGAGCCGGCTGCAATCAGGCTACGCGGATCGGACCGGTGCTATGCGCCCAGAAGAATTTCCTACAGGTTGCGCCCCCCACAGTTGGCATGGGTCAAAGCCACTAAGCCAGCCAGCCAACCACCCACCCACCCACCCGGACGCACGCCCGCCCGCACGCCCGCACGCCCGCACGCTTTTAATAACCTTCGCCGCCGCCGTGACCCACCTTCTCGCTGACTCTGACTGCAATTGTGCTCTTTCACCCTCCCCCTCCCCTCCCCTCCCCTCCCCTCCCCTCTCCAATCCCCAGGTACAGCTTAATTATCCACGTGCCAGTATCGCATTCTCATTCATTACATCTTCAATAGTAGCCATATAGGCCTGAAGAGAATTTATCCAGGGCAGATCTATGCACGCCAAATTGCCCTTTGAATTGTACATAGGCAATTTTCACAACTGTAAAACAGTCGACATATGCCGCGGTGTTGCTGAAGGCACTCAATGTGCGTACCTACGGTTCAGCAGCAGCAGCAGCAGCAGCAGCAGCAGCAGCAGCAGCAGCAGCAGCAGCAGCAGCAGCAGCAGCAGCAGCAGCAGCAGCAGCAGCAGCACCACCACCAGCAAGCTTGTGCAGGCGAAATTACGAGTCAGCTTGTTTATTCAGGGATGCCTCCTCCTCCTCCTGGAGGGAATGATGAGTACCCCATCTCCTACTGGAGATGAAGAATGCGACGGAGTGAGTCGTAGGGTTATCACCACCTCCTGTGATAGGCCTGTGAGAAGATAGGCCGAAAATGAAGTAGAGAGCACGCGTGTTGTAAAGCAGGCGGAAGAGCTGGTGCGTCAGGTATGTCTCCGGGCAGCCATGGTGGAAGAAATTGGCGGAGACGAGCGACTGGTAGTGTATAGACAAATGCTGGCAAGCCAACTGTTAAAAAGACGCCGCCGCCGCCGCCGCCTAACTCAAGCTGTATTAGCACGGACCATTAGAGCAGCTGACTTCCAGCATTCCCCCCATTCTACTATCCAGGGAGGGAGGGGGCAAGGAATATGTAGTAGCCCAGACCATAAGTATGTGTATTTACTCCTTCACCTGTTCCACCAGTGGACTGGGCAGCTTATATTGGTGGCAGGAGCCGGCCGGCGTTTATCCAAAAGAACATCTCCCAGCCAGCAGGCCAGGTTTGCAAGGGGTCAAATAAAGAAAGTAATGAGCTAGATGCTCGCGCGCTCGCGCGCTCACGTGGTAGACGCCGCCGCCGCAGACCACCGTGTACGTAGACCAGAGGGTCTTTCAGAGTAATTTAGAAGGTGCCATTAAACTATGCAAAAACTGCTTGGGCAGCGCTTCTTGGCTACGGCAGAGGCAGAGGCGGCTGCAATCAGGCTACGCGGATCGGACCGGT